TATTTTGTCCAAGCCCTACTATTTACCAAAAGTCATGAACTAAGTTCCATACTTTGGAATCTTACAAATGGGACGTCAGTAAGTCTTAAATTCAGTTAGCTAAAGTAAAATACCTCATTTTCCTTTAAAGGGCAGTTTGAGTCAAGCAGGTATGCATACACCAGCCAACCACCACACATTAAAGGTCAATTATTATGCAAAATGCACTTTACCATGTTTTTCTAACATAGTCTCTAGTCTGTCTACAAACCACTGATTATTAGTAAAGTACATCCTCTCCATCGTTTGCCTGCTCCACGTTTCAGAATTTAACCGACAGACAGTAACCCCTCCCCAAGGTGGATGATACTCCCACCATTAGGTGTTTTTTTCTGGCCTCTGAGTCTGCCTTCCCACCATAAACAATTAGGCCTGGTGCAAGAATGCCAGAGCCACCCAAGCCCTTCTAGAGGGGCGTGGTCAAACGCTTGAACAGCCTGTTCTGAACAGGATTAAAATAGAGGGGTCTAAAGGCATGATATACAGGCTCGGTGGATTTTTAACAAGAAACTTCACAGACACGTTTTGGGGAGCTTTTAGACTCATTCAACTTGTCGAATAGGTGAATAATATGGGACCTTTAAATGAAACTTTGCGTTAGTTCATGCAGGACATGGAAGTCATACTTCTTAGCTTTAATCAGCTGACGGCAAACTGATTGAATCATTGCTCCTAACCAAACACGCACACCAATCACACCTCATTCTCACATCAAGGCGGTCCATCTAAACACAACTTAAGTGTTACTGATCACTGCTGGCAAAGCTTTGCCTCCACCGCCTCAGGGGCCTCCTTTCTGCCTCAAGCCTTTGGTCCACCCTTGTAGGGGTTTAGCACTGCACTCCATGGAAAGCTGTGGTATGCTACTTAACTAACTCAGGGAGCATTGTTTGTGCAGAGCCTTCATCACCAAGCAAAACTGTATTTCTATTTTTGCAACAACAAAAAAAATAGCATAAATTCTGCACAAATGCCATGTATGGTGCTATAATATATCATACTCATGCTCATATTGCCAGTTTGTCTTCATACCAGCAAAGTAAATGAGATTATCCCAACCTGAAGTAAATCATTCCTAGAGCTGCAGTTACTCAGACATTACAGGAATTTCGTTGAGAATTCCCAAAATCTCCAGAGGTGATTTAAGACGTTTATCATGTAATCTTACAACTTGTGTGTATGTGCTTACTTATAGTTGGGTTTTTTTGCCATTAGTTTTTGTAATTATTCACAAAGCAGATGCTCAATGAAAAAGTACATTTTGTCTAATACCTTCTATTCCTTCCAGACAGCTGTTTTAATAACTAGACTTCCATTGTTTCCTTCACCTAGTATTCTGATGTCATTGTGATTAAAAAAAAAAAAGACCTACATTGATGGCTGTGTGGGAGATTAGATAGGTTATCGGTATTGGGCAAAAGCTTGGGGACAGGTCACAATGTGTGTGTATTTGTCGAGGTCCTCACTGAGTGCTCATCCTACTTATTAGGGCACAACTGAATCCATTATCTTAACCGTTTTCCCCATTCTGGTTCACGGGGGGGGGGGGCGCTGAAGCCGATCCCAGCTGTCATAGGGCCAGGGCCTGTGTAGGCTTTATTTTGGAAGAAACAAGATAACTTTTGACCTGCTGATTAACTATGGGATAACAATGGTGCATTTACCTGGGTACAAGCTGTTACACGATGCTGCATTCATGTGGTACTGTATCTGATTCTTGTATCAGTTTATGTAAAATGTTGTTCTCTTGATCTGAAGGAAACAGACTGCAGGTTCAATAATAGACTTATTTCAGCTTTTTCTGCATAGCCTGGACAGGACACTGTCAGCCCTGCTGATTTCGACCTTTACAGTACACACTGACACACACACAGACACAGTCGGTGTCTTGGCTCAGTCTGTTGCCACTGATGCAACAGGACAGGTGTTGCCTCAGTGATCATGTTTAATCAACATCCTGCATGTTTAATGCCAGAGAAGGAAGCGTGGTCAGTCATCATCTTTACAACACTCTGCGGTGTCTCCTCATCATTGGCAGGATTACGCGTCGAGCGCAGTCAGGTGGATGATGTTGATGTAGTTAATGTGAGACATGTTGAAACCTCAGTCAGCTCTTAATTCCTCCTCCTGTCCTCCATCTGCTTCATGAAACACTCCTGTGATCAAGGGTCAAAGATGTTAGTAAACAAACACAAAACTCAGGTTTCCTACCTTGCTAGAGTCGCTAGATTAGTTTATTTGTTCGGGTTGTTTTTAAGACAGAAGCTGAACTATTCAGCAGATTGATTTCCCCCTGATCCTGATTCAGTGTTTACTTCAAGCAGTGTAGTTGAAGGTTTTATAGTTACAAAAAACTCAAATCAGTTTTTAGACATTTTATATATATAAAAAAAAAACAGTCACTGACATTTGGAGGTATATTTGTTTGTTCACTGTAAGACTTCAGATGTTCTCTCGCAGAGATTTGATCACTTTAGCAGGGTTGGCTGAGTTTGTCTCATCCTGCTGATTACAACCAATACTCCTGAGCTGTTTCCCCTCTTCTCTCTTTCATTCCTTCCTCCTTCCCTCCTTACACATCCTGGCCCTCCATTCCTCCTCCAGTGATTCCTCTCGTTGAACTTCCAGTCCCTGAAAGCTCACATACTGGAAAAGGAGGAGCCAAACCCACGACATCTGTGGGAAGTGAGATTATGAAACAGGCCTCCCATCCCCTGCTGACCCCAGCTGTCACACTCACACTTCAACCAAAACTATGCAAGTGGTAGTGACGAAACGCATGGATTGCTTTACTTTTCAACTTTGGCATTTCAGTTTATTTGAGTTGACGTATTTGGACGAGGATTTTCTTGTTTTGATTTTCCTCTCGAGCAATGTGACGTGTCAGCCAGATGCTGCTCCAGAACACCTTATTTATGAAAACCATCTGAAACAGCTCAAACGAGGATGGCTTGCAGCTTTTAAGAGGGAACATGTTGTGGCCTTGTTTCCATATTTATTTCATCATAAACATTTTGCACTTGCATGCCTAACTTAACCTTGATTGTGTATGGCACAAGAACAAGTATTTCTTATAGTGTCTCCCTGTTAGTCTTAATTCCAGACTATTCTGGGTCATGTCTTATTTAAAATGATTCTTTTCTTTTCTTTACATACATAAACTCACTACGTAAATGATAGCATAAAATACACAAGGATAAAATAAATGGAGGGGTTTGACACTGAAATGATTTCAGGGAAATTTGTCTGAGAGACAATGAGAGATGTAACTTGATGCAACTTTGATTTTTTTTAAATAAATAGTTTATTAACTGTCAGTCTTTTTTTATTAGTGTAAAATAGAACTTCCAATTCAGAAAAGTTACAAAAATGTTTGTTGTGCTGTGAATTATAGTTCATTAAAGAAAGAAAAATGGAATCACTAAAACTGGCAGGTCAGACTCAGACCTTTAAAAGTGAGAAATGGGTGCATCTTAAGTATAAACATTCACTGTCCAGATTATATTGACTTTTATGTTTCCTTAACTTTTACCCCAGTACCACTGGAGGATAAAAGTTTTGTTTCCTAGAGAAATGTCTTGTAAATTATTGGATGAATTGACACTAGAATTGGAGATGTTGATGATCCCCAGGTGATCTACATTTCTAGTTCTACACAGGTCTTGGAAAGAGTTTCCGCAACATTTGGAAAAGGTTATATAAAAGTTGGCTCTTGACAGGGTGTGTAAAGTGTAGTAAATGGACTCAAGTTATGTCACTCGAGTCAAGGTCAATGGGGACGTATGTGGAAGATATTGAAGGAAGTGGGTCTACTAGACCTCTGTGGCCTGCTACTCTTCATTGCCTGAAGCTAGCTGCCTGAAGCTAGCTGCTTGAAACTAGCAGCTTGAAGCGCATTTAGCTGCTACTAGCATTACACACCCTACTATTAAACAAACTACCATCAGTCAGTTTACAATGTGTCAAATTCTTCATTAATGTCCAAATACCTGTAAAGTAGTGATATTCCCATCAACCTCAGCTGTGCTTTGTGTTTAGTGCGTAAAAAGCAAATGTTAGCAATAGCAAGTACTTCCCCATGTTGTCACATTAGCTGAACAAAGTTGCTAGCTTTTAATCTGTTCATTTTCTTTTTATCGTGAGAACTAACTACACCCAAATATTGAAACAGCAACTGTAAGGCTTACTTGTGTGCACTGAGGGAGATTGTCAACACTTAGGCTATAATGCAACATGGCCATCAACACCTTCTGGTGGTTATTCTTGTGACTTTTTACATCAAACACACAACAACAGCAGCTTTCTGAAAGTCTTGATAAAAGTCTGAATTAGTTACAGTCCAAAGATGCATGGATAACTTATAAGTTGTGATGCTTATATCTAGTGTTTCCTTCATGCTGGTTTGATGATACATGAATTTGAGCTGATGTTGGAAAAAGCTCAGCTCAGCATGGCCAACATTCCTCAGTAGATTTCACAGCACAGACACATACTCTCCTGATCACCCACACATGAGCAATGGCTGTGCTATCTCATTAAGTCTGCCTGCAAACAGTCCTATTGTTAATTGTGTTTTCCAATGATTGCTTTCCCAAACTCATACAAAGAGATATTATAGTATACGTGTCACTTGATGAGACAGGTGTTTCGCTCTGGAAAAGCAGGGAGGATTGTTCAGCCTCTCACATCCTGCTTTAAATATCAATTTAGCAGAAAGTAGGTCAGTCAGCCTTTAGCAAAGATATTTCTGATTCCCATTCCTCAGGTGGTTGGAGCAGGAAAAGGCAACTTTCTGAAAGGTGGAAGGGTGCCAAGTTTTAGAATGAAACACTTGACACTTCAAGATTGTCTTTCAGAGTTTTTTTTCTGCAAGCGGTGTGAATAAGTCTGTGGGCTGATCTGTGTTCTCTCTTCCTCTCCTCTTTTTCCCCTTCCTACCCTTCCTATCCCCCTTTTCACAGGCTGTCAGCATCAATAAGGCCATCAACACACAGGAGGTCGCTGTCAAAGAGAAGCATGCCAGGAATATCCTCATACTGTCTTTGTGTGTGTGTGTGTGTGTGTGTGTGTGTCTGTGTCTGTGTCTGTGTCTGTGTCTGTGTGTGTGCGCTCCTCATCGTGTGTATGTTTGTGAGATGCTGTTTCCCCGTGGCTGGAGGGTTACTTTAGTGCAAGATGAAAACAACAAACTTAGTGTCACCTCATCATCTTCATGTGGCCCTGCTGCAGAGCTAATTTAGTTATCTGTGAGAACAAATAAAAAGCAGACTGTGTCGAGGGTTGTTTGGAGTCAGCAGGGTTTATCCTCAACAAGAAATATAGACTGTAGGCTAATTAAAAAAAAAAAATCTAAGACTTTGTATTAATTTTGGATATTAAACTGGTGCAATTTGGCCTCTATAAATACCACCTGCTATGAAAAGAGTGTAATTTAACCATATTGTTTGACTTGCCCGTGCAGACTACCACATGTCCGATGTGTCTTTTGGCAAGACACTTAACCCCAAGTTGCTCCCACTACTTCATCGGCGGCGTATAATTGTGTATTAATGGGATTAATACATACTGATGGACGCTTTATATAGCAGCCTCTGCCATCAGTGTGTGAATGGGTAGGTGTGACCTACTGGTCGAGTAGGTGAGCACTATACAAGCTCAAGTCCATTTCCCTTGCAAAGTTCCTGGCGACCCCCCTTGCACCAGAAAGCACTGAGCTAGACCGATACAACACAAAAGATGTCATTGATTATATATAACCACTATTATCCTTGACTCTCCTCTCACCCTGCATCTTGGGCACCCATCATGAGAAAGGCGCCCACACCTTCTGGGCCGCGGTCAACCGGCTTCCTCTCTCTAGTAATGCGGTGCTCTGCTGGAAGTTCTGCCACGTCTTCCACAAGCTGCTGCGAGACGGACATCCAAACGTATGTAAAATGAAATAGTGTCACCTTTGACTCTCACATATCATCACTATATTCTATATTCACTATATTCTACTTCTTACTTGTTACATTGACACTTAAAAAAAAAAAGTTCTATTACCTTGTAGATACATCAGCTAGTGATTCATTCTTTAGCTTTGGTTGCACCTGATATTCATTTAGTCACTTAAACCTAATGAGTCCTGTTATATTAACCTCCTTCTCTCTGTTCCTGCTGCTGTCCCCGCAGGTGATAAAAGACTCCATGAGAAACAAGGCTGATTTAACTGATATGAGCAGGATGTGGGTAAGTACTCCAATTATCAGTTGAATGTGGTCATGTAACAGCATGCAGTCACAAGTTTAAACCACTACAATCTTATGGCACCGATCTCTGGCCTTTTTATTTTTATTTTGTTATTGTTTATACATCTATGTATTATATTATACATTTGATCGCGATTATTTTTTCGATATGCTGCTGCTGCTGTCGGAGTGACAGAGATTGCAGCCATCTAAAAGTGTTACTTTCAGAGATCCCAACACAATGCCTGCCAACGGCATGTTCTTGTGGCTAACAGAGTAATATTACATACGCTCAACGGTGGGGAATCTCACCTGTTAGAGTCTCTTTGTAGCAATATTGAGGTAAGAACTAAGTGTTCACAGTATTGCTGCAGATCCCCCCTGTGAGGAAATTCATCAGGTTTATTGTGTAAACTTGTATTTACAGCACTGCATTAAGCAACAGCATCTGAACAGTCACCCTTTAGTTATGTCTTACGCAACATACGTTTTGGTGGATCGCCTGCTCTGCTCCTTATTCTTTGACCCTCTTTTGTTTTTTTTATCACTCCATTTTTTGCTGATGTCACTGGGCAGTAGGATACAGGAAGTTAGGTTGCGCTGACCAGGCCTGCGGCCTCTGTTTCCTGTTGTGTCATCAACACCCACAACCCCCCAGATACTCAAGGAAACGGGAAGTGAGAAGCAATTGGACAAATTGCTGTTCAATTCAACTTTGTCCACACATTTGGAACAGGGACATTGTCACACTGAGTGAACCGAAGTAAACCTGTTTTTTAGTAAAGAGTTAAGTGCCTGGCAGGAGTACAAGAACATTTATTGGTTGCTGAAATAAAAATGGCCTCTTGTCATGTTTATTTTATGCTCCCTTCAGCCACATCAAATGTCCTGAAAACAGCAAATGATGGACGTCCTCTGTGTTCTTAAATCTGCAAATCCTCCAAGAGAGAAAAGAGATTTTGTTTTTGATCACATCTCTCTCCCCTTTCTCTTTCTCTCCCCCTCCAGGGTCACCTGAGTGAAGGCTATGGGAAGCTGTGCAGCATCTACCTCAAACTGATCATCACCAAAATGGAGTTTCACATCAAAGTGAGTTGGCCTGGCCTATAAAACCCAGCAGCAGACTCCCTCATCACTCATTAGCTTTGTCTCAGTCTCTCATTTTAGTGCAAGTGTGTCTCTGCGGGAGGGAATAGAACATTTCTGGCGTGTACACTAATGGCCTTTGAAGAATCTGTAATGTAGCCCTTTTTATGAGACAGCTGAGCAGAGCGGTGCAGGGACAGAGAGGCCTGATCACAGGATGCTGTCACAGGAAGATGTGGTTGAGTTGTTGCTACTAAGGGGATGGGCATTTTGTCGAGAGGTAACCAGGGACTGAAAGTAATGATATGACCCTATGCAGATAAAAACATTGATCAACTTTTTATTTCACCTTTCTGTACACAGTTATTACTAAATATGATACTCGCTCATGCATCAGCATTCAGGTTGATTTTTAAGCTGCACACAGTAAAAAAAAAACCTCAAGCTAAACCAAAAAGTAAAAAAAAACTCTTTCACCACAACAAGATTAAGGTCAATGAATGATTAATCTGTTCCTTTAGACAGTTTTGTATTAATTTGTTTCCTGATTATTATTATTTCTCATTAAAGTGTTCCTTTACCTTATCTTAGAATAACTTTCTAAACAGAGTGACATGAACCTTAAAAAGAAAAACCCTTTTTTTTTGGCATCTTGGCCTTCCAGATGGTGAAAAAAGAACAACAGTTTTTTTTTGTTTCCAGAGTTTTGTGCTACTGCAGCCAATCGACAGCCTGTTTGATTCCGAGCCATGGTTTGTTTTGATTGGCTTTAACTGGTGTGAAAAAAATCAAAGAAAGCATGAGAGCAGTCAAAGGCCAAACGTTTGCCTGAGGCATTGGTCTCAAAAACATATCTATCTACCAGCAGCAGCGGTGGAGGAAGTGTTCAGATCTTTTTCTCTGAGATGCTGGTGTGTGTATTTCAGCCTGTGTGTGTGTGTGTGTGTGTGTGTGTGGTAGTGTTGTAGTACTCAAAATCAGTATTTGTCTCAGGACCAGTCAGACCAAAACAGAGCTTAAAAAGGTGAACATTGGGAAGAAATATATATTCTCACCAGAGTTATGACTGTAATGTAGCTCTGTAAGTCCTTGATTTGTAATTAGGCAACTGATTTCTTAAAATGTGCTTAAAAGAAGGTGATATGTTGACGTTGTGTTTACAACAGGTTACTTGTGTGCTTCAAAGTTCTAATCTAAAGTATCAAGTAGTGTAAAATAAAAACACTCAAGTAACGTAGCAGTGGCTCAGATATGTATATAAACGTAGTTTATGAGTAAACTTAAATGCATAATAAAGTTAGCTGGCCTCGCAGGAGAAACTATATTCTTATAGGCTGAAGAAGAGTGTTATCTGCCTTCTAGTGGTGTTAGTCATCTTCCTATAAATGGTCATGTGATTGTGTCCCATCCACGGACGTCAGGACCGCTTCAAGCCTTCTTCTATTTTCTTCTCTTTCAGAATCCACGTTTCCCAGGCAACCTTCAGATGTCAAACAGACAGCTCGACGAGGCGGGAGAGAACGATGTAAACAACTTGTGAGTGCGACTGCTTCCCCGCTCGTTTTTGTAATTGTTAGTTGAGTTTCAAGTGTGAAATTAAATGAACCTGGATGAATAATTCATAATGCACCAGCGCTTGCATCCAGTTAAGAACTGAACCATCGTGGTCATTTTAGATCAATAAGAGGTGTTAAGGTGCGCTCGTTGATGCTAAGTTCCCACTGTGATCATATAAAAACAGACCTGTGTAACATGTTAGTCTCTCCTTCTCCGTTATTTCCCTCCTTAAGCTTCCAGCTGACAGTGGAGATGTTCGACTACCTGGAGTGTGAGCTCAACCTCTTCCTCGGTGGTGAGTTATTCTGGTCAGACTGTCTGCGTTGTGCTTCCAGCTGTGCTTATCTGAGCACGATGACACACACACACACACACACACACACACACACACACACACACACACACACACACACACACACAGGCGGATGCACACAGCTTCACACTTTGACAGACAAACTGGGTGACACTGTGTGACTGATAGGTGTCCAGCTCATGGCGCACAGGAATAGAGGGAGTAGATGATATCTGCGGTGTCATCAGGGCTCAACCTTTGTCTAATTCAGTCTGCTACAACCCTATTAGTGGTTACACACTGTGAGCTGTAGCCCTGTTGTTGTGTTTGGTGAGTCATGCCGGGTGAATGTCTTGTTTTAAAAGCATGGACAGGACTAAATATAGACGTCTGGGGATGTGACCAGGAGCTCAGAAGAAATTATGGAAAAACTACACCCTTCCTTTCATTAATGAGGAGGAAATTACAGCCGTGCTTCTTTATGTGTGTTTCCATTTATTCTGCCTTCTGAGGGGGCATGTTATCTCCTCCTCTTTCTGCAGAGATGGAGAAAACTTCCAAGGCCATATTCTACATTCAAAGTAACAAAATAGTCTGAGTCTGTCTTTGCTCCCACCCAAACCTCTAAGAGTGTGTCAGCTTCCTCCTTTGGTCTGCTGCGTCACGTCATCCCGGCCTGAGGTGTCTGAATGTGTGAGTGTATAGGTGTGTTTGTGTGAGTGTGTTTCTGTGTGTTTTCTAGCTGTGCAGGACACCACGCCCCTGCAGTGCACAGAGGCTCTCTAAGGCCTGGTCTTTTAGGGTTGGGTGTGAGCAGCGTGGCGGGGAAATGAAAGAGGGAGTCGGACAATCCTGTTAGTGTTCAGAGTTGCTACCTCAACTTGAAACATTTGAAAAAAAGCTCGTGAGCTGTGTGTGGCTTTCAGCCGTTTAATGAGTTATTTTAACCAGTAGAGGCAGCAAAGTAAAGCAAGAGCACAACTTGCACGACTTGATTGATGGATTGACGGTAAAAGATTCTCGATTGATCATGTCTGCCTGGCGGTGTATGCATGAATAATCATCGTAGTGTTCCTATATAATGTTTTCCTTATGACACCTGATGTGGGCACGTATTGATCTAGTGATGAAATCTATTGATCTGGTGCATGTCTCTCTCTCTCTCCTCTTAAGTATTCAGCTCTCTCGACATGTCTCGGTCTGTGTCGGTGACGGCGGCGGGTCAGTGTCGCCTGGCCCCTCTCATCCAAGTCATCCTGGACAGCAGCCACCTGTATGACTACACCGTCAAGCTGCTGTTCAAGCTGCACTCCTGTGAGTGAAACATGTACCTCTTATGGTCAAAACTGTTTGGAGACGGTCAGGACGTCTCTTGAATTTAGAATATTTTGAACATGATTGTGAATGTCAATTAAGTTTATTCACACAACTGAAAATCATATCTGATAGTATGAACACTATTTAACCTTCAGCTAAACCTCCTGCATTAAATACTTACCATATACCTTTCACTAATCCCTACCCACTTATACTTGTAATACAAATTTATGTTTTATGTTTCTTCTCTTAGATTTGATGCTCTTTTTGTGTCACTCTTCTTTTTTTCTTACTGTAATGTTAGAGCAATCCGGCGTAAGAATTTCCTTCACGATTGAATAAAGTTCTAACTTATCTTATAGAAATACTGTCTGTGAATACTTAAGAGGTGTTGCTTCACTTCAAAGATTCAAAGATGACGTGCTCCTCTCAGAGTTAAAGCATTTTTCAGACCCGCTGGCTCCTGAAGCCTTCAAAGCTCCACCTGATCAGCTCAAACATGCATGCAGTTCAGTTTTCAAAAAAAAAAAGAGGCTTTTCTCCGTTTCTGACAAGGAGCCTTTGATGCATTCATGCACAAAACCCCATCATCCAAGTTTGCACTCAACCATTATGTAAAGAGAGATTACCTGAACCGGTTGTAGTGTCCCGGCGCTGACGTGTTTGTGTTTTTGTTTGTGCTTTCAGGCCTTCCAGCCGACACTCTCCAGGGTCACAGAGATCGCTTCCAGGAACAGTTCAAGAAGTACGTCGTGTCACTTGCAGTCGCACACACAGGGCGGAAACAGAGCCGTTCACACTGTGAAATGCTCTGAGAAATATTTTGTACGAGTCTGACTCTTCAATTCTTTTCACTCTGGTTGTCTGTCTTCTCCTCTTTTCTTGATGTTTCAGGTTAAAGAGTCTCTTCTATCGCTCCAGTAACCTGCAGTATTTCAAGAGGCTCATTCAGATCCCACAGTTGCCAGAGGCGAGGAACGACTTTACTATTTACCGATCGGTTCATTAATCCTTGATTATTCCCTTTCATCAATCACAGAGTTCAATGCTTGTATCTTGTTTCTTTATAATCCTTCATTTAACTAACAATATATGTCATTATCTTCATACACCAATCAATCTTTATTTGTAAAACACCAATTCATAACAAATGTGATTTGAAAACACTTCATAAATAGAGGAGGTTAAATACCTTACTCTTTGTTATATTATCTCCAAAGATCCAACAATAATCCAGCATAAGCACAGTACTAAGCAACATTTAGCAAAGTTAAAAAGGCAAGAAAAAACTTCCTTTAAGAGGAAGAAACCTTGAGCAGAACCGACTCATTTTGAACAGCCGTCTGCTGAAACTGTGTTTGGCTTTTATAGTAGGACAGAGGGAGATGCAGGAAGAAGGATCGAGACAAACAGAGCAACAACAACAATGAATATGAAAGATTTATAGCTACAGTGTCAGTAATAATGGTACAATTATGTGTAGTATTAGCAGTAATAGCTAAGTATGCTAATAGACTGATCAGTCTAATACATCTGCCTGCAGCTGCATGAATATTAGGACTGTGTGATTTGTAATTTTCTGGCTGAAAGTTATGCATGCCTGTATATGGATTATGGTAATTCTTTCACATATTATTTTAGAAAATGATTTAAGCTTAAAAAACTCACCACCATAGGCATTAAATCTCCCTTCATGGTTCACTTTTTTTCTGCATTCAGAGCAGTAATATCTGTGTTTTTGTTTATCATAGTCTCAAGAACACATCAGAGCACAAGTTTTTATAAAAACAAAGCAAAAGAATACAAATGAAAAAATAAAAAAGCTGGTTACGATACCTTAAATCATATGAACTATGAATTAAGTTTGATATAGTGCTACAAAGTATAAAAACAGATGTGCACTGATATGTTTAAACCGCCTGAATGTATAAAATGAAATCAGACTTTACAGGCTGATATACAACGAGCAAGTTAAGCTACTAATCTCCTTCATTTGCTCACATGTATTTACACTTCCATTGATAACATTAAGCAACAAAAAACATACACTGCACCTCATCATGGCTCGATCCTCCGCTCTTTGTTAGGTGGAACTAATTTGAATATTCACATTTCTTCAAAGCCTCTTAGTTAAGAGTGCTGAAGAGGTGAATGTATTTCAGGACACTTTGAGGACACACCACATTATGCACATCCTTCCCTAAACTGTGCCTGAACCTGATGGAAGCTCAGAAAGAATCTTTTACTCTGATAAAAGTGACTAAAATTGTACTTTGTGATTCTTGCAGAACCCTCCTAACTTCCTGCGTGCGTCAGCTCTGTCGGAGCACATCAGCCCCGTGGTCGTGATCCCCGCCGAGTCGTCGTCCCCGGAGTCGGAGCACGTGGTAGAGACAGACGACCTGGTGGACACAGACCTCCCTGTTCTGCCGGTATATACAACTAAAACAAGAGTGGTACACTTCTTAAATGCAGCCCTACTTGTTGTGTGTGTGTGTGTTTGTGCTTCACTGGCAAACATTTGTTGTTGTAATGAGCTGCCAAAAATCTAAGAGCGCTGTTGTGTTTGTGCGAGGAGTTGGGAGGGAACAGCTGCAAAGAGGTACATGGATGACATAAGAGGAAATAAAAGCTGCCAGCAGTGTAGACATGAACAGACTCTCTTTAAAATACATTTTATTACCGGTATATTCTTGTTCAGAATTCTCAAAGAACTGGTTTTCATTATATTCATGCTGTCATTGTGTTAATTATATTGACTTTTATCGCTGTCTGGTAAAGCTGAATTTATTATATCTATAAACCTGGATGGTAATGTGGTCATTAATGGCAGTTTAGACTCACAATCTCAGTAGAGATCCAATATTTACTTTGTAACCGTAATTATTCAGTCAGGAATGACCAGAACTCTTAAATAACTAATCCTCGTTAGATAACTCAGGACCCGTTTTTCATTTTTTCTTTTTTTCTATTTCAGGCTTTTCAGGCTCCAGTGGAGACCAAGTTTGACGACCTGTTTGGCACCTCAGCTGCTATAGACCCCTTCAACTTCAACAGTCAGAACGGCATGCGGAAGGACGACAAGTAAGGCCTGAAAACATCTAAGAGCTTACAGTAGCTTATCAATCAGCAAGAAGAATATTCATCTTACTAAATTATATATACACCCAAGAAATGAAAAGGTGCATCGGGACAGAAGTCCACATAGAACAGAACTGATAAGACTCTTTGGTTTGATTGTACTGTATAACATTTAAAGTATAGTTCGATTTAACAGTAGACAAGTTTCAAGCCAATAGTGAAAATGTAGCTTTTAAATTGATTTTATTTTTGTTTGTGACCATCAGAGACCGTCTGATTGAACAGCTAACGAGGGAAATCCAGGCTCTCAAAGACGAGCTGGAGTCTTTCAGGCTGGAGGTAAAGAGGAAAAAGAATTGAGAGTTTTTTAAAGCTACTTCTTGTGTTAGAATGCCTAGAGAAGAGTGAATCAGCTGACAGGCGTCGCTCTCAAATGCATTTCTCGTTCTAGAGTGGTCGTTTGTGCCAGGCGCTGCGGGGGCGTGTCAACGAGCTGGAGGCGGAGCTAGCAGAGCAGAGCCACCTGAGGCTGCAGGCTGCAGGAGAGAGCGAGTTCTTGAAGGCGGAGCTCGACGACCTGCGGAGGGTCAGAGAGGACACGGAGAAGGAGCAGCGGAGCCTGACAGAGATAGAGAGTAAGACCAGGATAAAGACGCTTCTGCTACTTTGTGTCTTTCATTTGATGTATGATATGATCCAAAAAGATACTCATGTCTTTAATCATTCAAATATTTTTTATATATAAAACATTTTTTGTTCTATTTATTTTGATCTAGTCTGACAATTTTCATTTGAAAACGGTGTGTAACATAAAAGATGCTGTGTTCAGCGACAGAACAGAGAACACTATTCATCTTCAGACACACGCACACCCAGCACAGAGAGAACATCTCTTCTTCTGTCATTCTGCCTCTTCATTTCCTTACTTTGAGTTTGCTTCATGACTTCACTAAGTTCTTTAAATATATGAATACTGTGGCAAAGGCATTAGATACTGTTGCTGTCATAAAAAAAATGAAAGAGTTAAATGAAAATGTAAAGAATAAAAAAGGTAATTTATTGATCTTGATTGTTGCATGAAAACTGACCTGTTGTTTTGTTTACCTGTTGTTCTTTCCAGAAAAGGCTCAGGCCAACGAGCAGCGCTACACCAAACTGAAGGAGAAATACACAGAGCTGGTTCGGAGTCATGCAGACCTGTTGAGGAAGGTGAGAAAGACACATTATTTTTTAATGCCCAAAAAAGTGTCCTTCTCTGTGTCCTTGTCCTCTCCTTGAAGGACCTGAACCTTCAAATATAAATTAAAACCAGAGGCGTTGCTTGTCAACAGGCAAGACAGGGAATTGCTTGGGGCCCCTTAGGCCAGTAAGGGGCGCTATAAGGGCTGACATACTTTAAAACACAGCAGTGGCTAAAAATGTGCAAAATGTCGCAGTGACAGTTGGAAACCTCCCATGAAGGGTCCCATCTGACAGCAATCCTTCTCATTGCGCTTGTCAAAGTCACAGAAGAAGAAGGAAGAGGAAATGGAAAAAAATATTAAGTAGAAAGAAAGCAAACATTGCATCATTACTTAGTTTCCAAGTGTCCACTCCGCTCCAAATACTTGTAATGGTAACTATTATTTATAACATAAAGGCGATTAACGGCTGGAGCGCCCCTTTAAAGTTGATCCTCGTGCCTCAACAGACTCTAGAATCGCCACTGATACAAAAATGTCCTCATGCTGTCCTCAGATTTTCAGATTTTCTAACCTAACCTTTCAGTTTCTGCCTTTTGCTTTTGTGCGTTTCTTCGTCTTTGAACAATGACCCTCTGTGTTTTTTTGTTTTTTTACGTGTCCGTGTGTGTAGAACGCAGAGGTGACACGACAGATGACGGTGGCGCGGGCGGCTCAGGATGAAGTGGAGGCAGTGAGGAAAGAGATGCAGGACAAGGTGAAGGCTGCTCAGGAGACTGCAGACAGACGGGTGAGCGTGTTATCTCTGCAGAACATGCACAGCAGGTCGTGTTACTGGAGTTTGATCCGGGAGCTGATGTCTAAAGTGTGATTTTTGACTTTTCTTGCAGGAGAGGGAGCAGCTGGATCAGCTTCAGGAGCTCCAGAGGGAGCTGGTGTCCAGCAGGGTGGAGCTGGACTCCTTGAAGACCACCGTGGTCTCATCCCAGCAGGTTCCTCTCCTCTCAGCTTACAAAGACAATCTGCTAACTAGACCGCATCATTTTGAGTACTAGCTGGTGATAACTTGATAAGAAATTGTCACCCTGACTAATCTTAAAGAGTTAAGTCTTGATTTAGAAAAATGGGCTGCTGTAGCATTTAGCTGTGAATACTTCATCTCAGTGCCAACAACAGGTGCTGGATCCTAAAATCTAAACTTTGTGTGGGGTATATTTGCAATGACTGTCACTCCTTCCATGTTCATGTCATCTTACCTCTGAGTCACCATCTCTTCTTCCCACAGCAGACTTTCAAACACACCAAACCATCAACATAATTGATATGCTAATACATTTCTTTCACGTCAGTGAATTTGTGTTCAGTTTAGGGGGAAATTGTTTAAACTGGAGCCCTCAGCTCTTCCTCTTCCTCCTCTCTCTGCATGCGATCGTTGTGTTTGTAACAAGTGACTTACTGCATTTGTTTAAAAAAAAGAAAAGAAGAAGCTATAAAATCTGCTGGTGTAAATCCAGCCGCCTGGTTCTTTGCTTCATTGCACTCATGTTAGTCTGAAACAAAAGGAGTGATAACCCAACCCTCAACCCCGATTGCTCGTGTCTCCAGCCTCATCTCATTACTTCTCAACCGTCTTTCTTACTGCCCCCCACTCCTCAACATCCTACCTCTGTCACTTTCTTCCCCCCTCCTCATCCTCCTCCATCTCTATTCTTTTTTACACACATTTAATCCCTTCTGTCACATGCCTCAAGTGTCCAGATCTCACTACAGCAGCGCCTGCCACACACAGTTTGAATCCTCGTTCTTAACATTTCTGTTTCTTCTTCGTCTTTCAATGCTTCTCGTCTGCTTTCGGATCTGCTGGTGCTCAGACTGTAAGTCTCTTTTCTTACCTGCATGACACTTACATACATGCACATTGTTTTACTCAGGCGATGAGTTTTAGGATAGGATAGGATAGTACTTTAATGATCCCCAGAGGGGAAATTCGGGCGTTGCAGCAGCACAGGCAAGTAAGGTCATACAAAATACACATTAAACAGAATAGATTAGATTAGATAAATAAAAATAGGGGGTATATAGAAGTACAGAATGAATATTGAAGTTAACTGCAGGTAATTGAGACAGTATGTGCAGGGAATGGCAAGATAAAGTGACAAGTGATGTTTAAAGTGACTTGGTATGATAAATAGTAGCAAGTAATGTAAACAGCAGAGAAGAGAGGCAGTGTTGTACCACAGTAATGCAGAGTGCAGTTATATAATATAATGTAGTATAATATAATTTAATATAGTGCAATATAAACAATATAGTGTAATATAATGAAATGTAATATAATATATAATATAGACTAATATAATAATATAATAAAGTATATATAATAAGAATATACAGTATATATATTGATGCTAAACAATAATAATAATAATAATAATAATAATACAGTATAATAATACAATATATACATGTTAGTAATGATAATATTTATTTATTTCACTGTTTTTGAGCAATGATGTAACTGTTCACTCAGGAATCAGAATCGTCGAATGGCTGCCACAACAGTATTTAGTAGCTTTGAAAGTTCACCTCTCTGGAGATTATATGCCCCTTTTCAAACTCATATGGATGCAACATTGCTATAATCACCATCTATAGTATTTAAAAATTATTATTCTGAGGTCAGAGCGGGTCATTTCATGCCACATCCTGACATTTAACTACTAGGGCCCGACTGATATGAGATTTTTGGGGCCGATACCGATTTTGATATTGGTGAGGATAAAATATCCGAAACGGATATACTGGACCCATTTTTCAGCTGAAGAGATTGATAGATATTGATAGATTCATTTGTTTGCATTGATCCCTCAAATGCAGTTATCAAACACTTGTGGAAAAGATATATAGATATATAATGAAGACAAGATGGTCACTCAACTGTAAAGTAACTGTACATGTACGTGCATCACCGCTTCACACTTTGGACGGTGGTAATGCTTGTTGTCATCTGTATAGCGCCCTCTGCTGGTGAAAGAGAAGTGCTTGTTTAATAAATTGAAACTCAAATGAAATGCTATTTGATTGGTGAATAAATTAAATAATAAATTGGCACATATCTCAGATAAATATTTGCGGTCGGGCTCTATTAGTGACCATACTTTTCCTTTTCATTGTTGTGTGATGAAATAATTTTCCCTTCATGTTGGATTTCCTCCCTGCAGTCGAGTGATGTCCTCAGCACCCAGCTGGCCACCCTGGAGTTGGAGAAGGCAGAGCTTGTGCAGTCCTTGTCAAAGGTGGAGGCAGAGCTGGCTGTCCAAGGGGAGGAGCTACAGCAAGTGCAAAGCTCTCTGGCATCGGAGAGGGAGAATGGAGTGAAGACGGCAGAAGCGCTGCAGAATCAGCTCAATGAAAAGGTGAAGATCAGTCAATTATCATTTCTTTAATTAGCTTTCTTTATTAGGTTTGACAAATCAAGCAGATGTTTTATCTGTTGCAAGCCGACATTGTTACCCTCTGGCCATTTCTCAAAAAGGTTGGTGTTTGATGTGTGTGTGTGTGTGTGTGTGCCTCCTCAGGAGAGCAGGGAGCAGGCGTTGGAGAGCCAGCTGGTTGCAGCTCGCTGGTCCAGTCTGCAGGGAGCCGTGGAGGAGGCGGAGAAGCTCATCCAGGACTCTCTGGTTCAGATAGACGACCCGGCACACATCAGCTGCACCAGCTCTGCAGGTCAGAAGCTAATGCTTTTACATTTTATCACAGCGCTGAGCTGACATTATCATTATTCAGTAGTGGGATGCTGATTAGCACAATGTGAGCAGGAAAGTTTGCATGCTTATCTCCAGTCTTAAAGACTTCTTTTTTTCATCTCCACAGACTACCTTGCATCCAGATGTCAGGCCTCCATAGATTGTATGGAGCGGCTGCACTCTGCCAGAGATTCCTTTGTAGCTGACAACACAGGTGAGGGTCCTCAGTTTAGCTCCGCGAGGATCATACTGTGTATAATTATGAAACTAAGTAATGCAGTAAGCAGAATTCAAAACATTTTCAAGTGTTATTGCGTTTCATCTCAATATTTTAATGAATGAGTGATCATAAATAATATACAAATTTTTAACCTCAAAGTAATAATAGCGCTCAAGTTGACACAGTGACATGTTTCCACTTCATTCATTTATTCCAACTTGATACATGCTGAAGTTTCAGTTTGAATACATGCAGCTCCTCATTTCAAAGTTAAAACAGATCTTTCAAAATATATCTTATCCAGACGTTTCTTTAGCATAACCATTTTTTCACATTGAGCTAAAACCAACTCGACATGCATCTATTTGGTTTTTTTAAACAATTATTTAATGATAATTCCAGACTTACAGATTCAGTCTGACCTGACGTAGCTTTTAAGGTGATATACGCTGCATGGCTTGGTATTACCAGCTGGTTACAAGCTAACAAGCTTTTATCCTTTCTCAAATATTCACATTACACGAATCCCAGTTAAAAACCTGGGTCCACATTAATATTAATGCAGATGTTTCTTAAAAACAGCTGCATTATTAGTGATGTCAAGATGGTCAATGCTCTGAACACACTCTGTGTTTGTATTGACTGAGACATGAGTTAAGTGCTGGATTACGGTACATTTACTGAAGATTTGGAATCATTTGTTCTTCTAGCTGTTTCTGAGCTGGTGCGAGTGGTGACCCAGTGTGGCCACCTGGTGGGCGACACCATCGTTCAGGGTAGTGCCACCTCCCACATGGTGCCTGTGGAGCAAGCTGATGGTGAGTATTGTGTGTGTGAAAGAGAGAGAGATGAAGAGTGAGTGAACTCTCCACTCTTCTCCTCATATTAATCTGTGAGCCAGTGAGTCGGCCAAAACATGTACATGTACTGACATGTCTGTTAGCAGGTCATACCTCCTTTAATGTAACTTGTACAAGAAGGTGTGCCGGGGACGTTCAAATGATTGTGTCTATATTTTGCTGGGTTATACATTGCTGTCAACGTTCTATCTAGCAGTCTCTTTATCTGGACATCTGACTCTAGTATTCACATTAAGATAAAACAAATGTCATGTTAAAGACCAATGTTTTTCAGATCATGTGCCGAAGAATTCGATTTTCTGACTTCATGTATTATCCACAGGATTTGTCTCCTGGGAGATTTTAGGAGTCTGTGCAAGTCTGAATATGCCCAAATATAAAGATGTACTTTAGTCATTACTGAAACAAAATTCACACATGTTAGAGCTTCAACTGGGTCAGATTGAAGCCTCATGTAGCTGCAGCTCTGGAGATCAATGAAGGTGCATTTATTCACAAGAATATTTGAATGCAACATCTGATAGCATGTGTACAGTTAGAGGCAAATCAGCTTGCAGTCCTGCATCTAAGAATACCGTCCTGTGGAGGTAGCTTTGGTTTCCCTCCGCCCATCAGAGAGGCTGTTAGTGGGTGTTGACGCCCTTCCTCAGGGGATGTCACTGTAATTATAACTGCAGCTGCGGCAACTAGCACACAATATTAGTGTTTACAGATGGCGACATGTTGAATTTAATTAGAAAATAAAGTGTTATCAAAGCATTAGTTATTATACCTGTAACTCTTACAAATGCTTTTACATATCAGATTGAGATGGTTTTCTTGAAGTGCCTGTTTGTGAATTGAAATGGCGGTTATTTTGGAGATAACACGTGCATTCCTCCTTGTCGTCATCAGCCCTGTCAGAGAGCGTGAAGGCATGCGGGGCTGAAGCTCTGGATCTGCTCAGCCACATGAAGCAGCAGGACAGCATAGCGGCAGCAGACGACTGCAAGCTGAAGGCAGCGCTGGAGGCCATCCTGACCACTGCAGAGGTTTCTTACTTATGTAGCACTTCGATGTTCACTTCAAATAAAAGTCTGTCACAAATCAAATGTATTATCATTTATTCTGTGCCTCATATACACACTGTTCTCCCTCTTATTATGCACATATAAAAGTAGAAACTAACAGCACATGGGTTGTTATGGGATGAACCATGTTAAGTTAGATTGTTTAATGTGTGCATGTGAATAATGTTTGCTGTCTTACTGACGTGTCTCTTTTTGTGTCTTTGTCCAGAAACTGCGTCCCCGAGGTTTGGAGCTACAGCAGGGGGAGCTGGGAGATCTCGTGGAGCAGGAAATGGCTGCCACTTCCGCTGCTGTGGAATCGGCGGCTTCCAGGATAGAGGTGTGTGTGTGTGTGTATGTGTGTCTGTTTGTGTATTTGTTTGTGTCTAGCTGCTGCCACCAAATAGAAGTCCATGATTCAAAGTACTTGCTCTGTATTTGTGTATGTAAGAGCCAATGCTGTGAAGACTTTGCCCCCTGTTTCACTTTACAGCTGTCTTAACTTCAAAGCAACTTTTTTTTATGTCTCCTTTGTGCCTCTGTGGATCCCGACAGGAAATGCTCAACAAGTCTCGAGCAGTTGATACAGGAGTCAAGATGGAGGTCAATGAGAGGTAAAACTCCGATAAGGGGAGGATGGGTTTGGGAGCTGCAGAGGAACAGGCTGGGATCACTTTTTCCACGGCATCCCTTATTCTGTATATGGTGGACAAGTCCTTCAAACACTCATTTAACTGGAAAACTTAAAAAAATCTTTCATCAAAATGAAATCAAGGAGGAGAAGATTAAAACTAGATCAACCGAAAATAATCTCCCCTGCTAAGGTTAAATTAATATCTCATCTCCCAAAATAGACATACATTCGACCCACCAACAAACTTCTTCCTGTCGCTTTATTATGATTTGTCTACCTTTCACTGGAGGAAGTTGTACCCCCCCCCCCCTCCTCTGATACAGTTGAGATACTGTATCAGAGGAAAGACTCATGTCTTTGAAAGAAAATGGGAAGAAAATGGTCCTAATGATCACTGAATGGGCTTAAGGATGATCTTGTTAATGTACAACATCTCTGTTGATCAAATTTATAGTATACTGGTAGATGCTGAATGTGACTCCTGGACCAACTAATGCAAATACTTATTACTTATACTTACTTTGTTATAGTGCACTGAGCTGATATTGCTTTGTCTTTGAAAATCAATAAAAAAGAATGTTCATAAAAAAAACAGAGAGATTAAAGATCAGAGAGAAGTGAAAGCAGCTAAGAAATATTAAAAGATTAAGGAACTGATTCGTCTGTGCTGGAAAAATACAGCAGGCCGAGCCTCCAGCTATGTTATTGTTTCACATGACATTTCAGGGCAATAGCAGACGGTCACACACTGAGGGCCGATGTGCAAAGAATATTTATCAGTTCAGGCACACTGCCTGCCTCAAAGTGAGAAGTCTGAGGCCAGAGCTGCACATAGTTTGTCTGTCTGCATCAATGAAAAGCTGTATTCAGATTCTCCAGTGTGCTGTTGCTTTGATATTAAAAGTTATAGTTATAGACTTTACATTCAAGATGTTTATTTGTATTGAATGGTTAAAGATTCAGAAAGTTATACATCTGCAGATTTCATTAGTTTTTTAAAGCTTGTGTTTCTTCTCAAACTGTAATCATCAGCGATTTGTTGGCTGCACAGAAATCTTTACTAAACCATCCGAGACTACAGGAACATTAGCTGTAGGTTTATTATTTGATGCAGCTGCTTTTGTCTCCTATTCATTTAAGGGTGCATGACATCTTCCAGTTTGTATTTTATTTTATTTTCAAACTTCAATCAGTGAATAAATATGTTTTATTCATCTGGATAATACTTCTCCATGTGCACAAATCAAGCTAATGAAACACCTCTAACTCTCAGCTCTCCCACTGATTAATTTATCAATGCTGATATCAAAAAAATCTGTCATCCAAGTAGCTGCGCCACTTCTGTGAAAGATGATACATTAAAACAAACAGGCACTGCAACAGTTTATCAATCATGTAAAAACAAGTCTTATTTCCAACCAGTCTAGATGTTTTTTTCTGTTCTGACCTTTGTCAGGCTGAAAAATACCTTACACACTAGTAAAAGTTGACTCAGCCTCGATACTGATCCCACTGTTGTTTCTCCTCTAAGCTTGGAGAGGTGGCTGCTAGCAGCAGTTGTTAAAATGTACAGCGTGTCAAGTGTTTGTGTCCTTTGCTCTGTCGCCCCCTGCAGGATTCTGGCCTCCTGCACAGAGCTGATGCAAGCGATCAAAGTGCTCGTTGTGTCTTCCAAAAATCTGCAAAGGGACATTGTGGAAAGCGGCAGGGTGAGTTATGATGCAGTTTATCTCCTTTTTGTTATGCTATGTTTAACCTGTACACACTGTCCATTAAAGTATTCTGCTCACACTACTTTTATTTATTTTTTATTTTAGACCTGTTGTTGTCTAGATATTTTATAAATTATCAGCTAAAAATATTTATTTATTTTCTAAATCAAAGAATGAAAATCCCACCAAAACCGAGCATGAAACAAGCACTAATCACAGTATGATACAGTCTCTGATATAGTCCAAAAAACGAGTTAGTATTAGATTTTACTTAATTGTGAAGCTCCAGATGATACCGTGTCGAGGCTGTTAGTGGACGGTTCCACCTTCTCTCATTAGAGAACTAGCTGGTTATCTTTGTCTTAAATCAGAGTTAACTTTATAGTTTGGGATTTAGTCTGCCGGTCAGACAGAATGAAATATACTCTTAGAAGCTGTAGAAGACATTTTAAATGATTTGACCACACAGATTCATGGTTTTTACACTACCTGTTGTCATAACAGACTTCTAAAAGTGTGTTGAGAATCAAACGTTTGAACATTTCCTTCTTTTCTCCACCAGGGGGCAGCCTCCATGAAGGAGTTTTATGCCAAGAACTCCCGCTGGACTGAGGGCCTGATCTCTGCCTCCAAAGCAGTGGGATGGGGCGCTACGGTCATGGTGTAAGTATCAGTCCTCCCCTGAGTCGCTCTTTCAGACACAGTGTTTATGTTCACAAAGATAGCAGTGGGAAAATGTGCTGCAAGCAATTTTGATCGCTCTGAGATTTATAGTCATAAAAGAGTATATAACAACAAGACTGTAATTCAGGTTTAAGGCATAAAGTCCACTCATAAATCAGGTGCTTCCCCTTAGCTTTATTCTGCACTGTGTCATTTCAGAGACGCCGCTGATCTGGTGGTGCAGGGCAAAGGGAAGTTTGAGGAGTTGATGGTGTGTTCACATGAAATAGCTGCCAGCACAGCACAGCTAGTGGCTGCATCTAAGGTGAGCATACATTACATAGTTTAATATGCAGGGTTTTTACATTCATACACTTTCAATTATTTTAATAGGATCTGCTTTTCTTCTTCTTCTTCTTCTTCTTCTCCAGGTAAAAGCAGACAAAGACAGTGGCAACCTGCAGCGCCTGCAGCAGGCGTCCCGCGGTGTAACACAGGCCACTGCAGCTGTCGTAGCCTCCACAAAGTCTGGGAAGTCTCAGATTGAAGAGAAAGGTGAACTGCAGAGTCTGATTGTTTTGTTTAATACCTGACGGCAGGTTCACAGTATCAGTGGAAACACAGGAGGTGTTTTAACATCATTTGTTGTTCCTGTGCAGATACGATGGACTTTTCCAGTATGACACTGACCCAGATCAAACGACAGGAGATGGATGCACAGGTAAGCAGCAGAACATAGATAAAATGATCGAAGACAGTCCCCCCCCCCCCTTATCGGACAATAACTTAATTAAGCAGTGAGTTATTTCATGCTGTGTCAGGATTCATAGAATGCAGGTTGAACTTCTGAAGGTTTGTTGTTTTTCATTCTTTGAGAGATCATATTTCAGATGTGCACAAACTCTTCACTGTGTGTTGTTGAGCTCTTTCACGACACTGAAAGAAAAACATGGAAAGCTCTGGACCTGCGCACACACTGCCCTTTGTTTGAACGCACAGAGTGCTTCTTCTTGACGTTTATTTTTAGAAGTCCAAATTAAAAACTTCATGTGAAGGCTGATTAGAACTGGGGAGTTAGAGAAAACACTATGACCAAAACAAATTTAGTTAACCACTGCTCAGTCTGACTTTGTTTATTATCTGAAGCTTGAATCTAACGATGTTAGCATTAGCAGTTTTAAAACCCTCTGTAGCAGCTGTTTAAAACTCTAGGCACTCTGCAAAGCTTTAAGTGAAAAAATGTCTTTGTGTGGTAGTTTGCTCTTCTCCAGTCTCTTTCCATCAGACAGTTTCCTGTGCATAACTCGTGTAAATAAAGATCCTGTTCAGAGTTTTAGGTTTTCCATGCTTTGCGAGTGGGAAATGAGGAGTGTGTGTATGTTGTCTAAGGTTCTGGTCCTGGAGCTGGAGACTCGTCTGCAGAAGGAGCGAGAGCGTCTTGGCGAGCTGAGGAAGAAACATTACGAGCTGGCCGGGGTTGCAGAGGGCTGGGGGGAGGAACAAGAGGGTGAGGACAGAGGAAAACTTCATTACAATAAACATACTCCTTATAGCAACACAGACTGAAATAAGTTTGTCTCCTCTTTTCTCCACAGGCACAGGTTGAGGCCTACATCCCCTGTCACCCCCTCCTCTTCTCTCTGCCTCCTTCTATTTATACACACACTCTTCAGTCCTTTTTCTCCCTTTTTTTTTTCTCCTTCTCTGTTTTCTGTTCATCTAAGCCAAATTCAAAGGTGCTTCTTTTCTATTACCTGCTTCTCCACCCGTGTCCCAAAGCTTCCATTGAGGATGGCACCAAGGGCTCAGCGACAGAGGAGGGGCATCGAAAGGGAAGAACAAATGGATGTAATGATTTAAAAAAAAAAAAAAAACACCCAGACTTCACAGCTTCAAACCCCCCCCACCTGCCACCCCCCCAGAGGACTGTGTTGGTGTAAAGAAAAAAATCAAATCAAAATGGATCTATTCTATCAAGTATTTATTGCCATTTCCTTCCCCGTTTTGGATAACTCTGCTCCATCCAGGAGTCGCAGCAGAAACGCTGCAAGCACAAGTTCTACTCAAGATATCCCAGGATGCACTGCACAAGGGTCTAGCTCTCAGCAGGAATACAGAGAGGAGGGCTCGGAGACTGTTGCTGCCCTACCCCGGCCTCAAAAAACCATGTCTCTGTGTTACATAGATGGCATGCATGCAGTGTTTTGTAACAAGTTGTGAGCTTACAAAGCTGCTCTTCATGTGTCAGTGCAGTTTCATAGCTTCTTCCTCTTCTTTCTTCACTGTGAGTTTTCACCGTGTTAAGTCCACACTCGCTTCACCGGCTGGTTCACTGGACTTTCTGCCTTTCACCTCTTCACCGTTTGTACCGACTGTGACTGTTAACTCAAGCTGAACCCCAGTTTTTATTTTTATTTTCTTTTGTGGTATTTTTATTGTGCTAATTTTTAACAGACACTCGCATGGAAACTCTTTAAAAGGGCAGTTTCAGAACAGGAAAGTGGCACCGTTTTTTAAAAAATTCTTCTCCTCGTGAGCTGTAAGACGAGCATCTACCTCATGCTACATCGACAGAGGTAGCGGTGCATCATGGGAGGATTCTGATGAGAGTGCCCAGACATGATGACAGGGGGTCATTTTTGGTCCATTTTCTTTTGAATTGGTTGAGAGTGTTTTTATATAGAAAAAAGGAACAACACTTTGGTGGTTGGGTATTTGTCCTTTTAGCATCAACAGCTCAAGTCTGGTAAGAATAGCAAAAGTTGTAAAATAAGCTTTTACATCGTCATCTGTAATTTTTTTTTGATTTCTTTTAATGTCAGTGGTCCAGCAGCACTACAACAAATCTGACACACAAGCGGCCGCAGCTTTGGATTTGGAGCTGGCATTCAGTCACGTGATGAAAGTGCAACACCACTTTGCTCCGAAAGGAAGTCCTTAAACGTTTTTGAGTCAAACCTGAATGTTACTTTTGGGAAGTTTGGGGCTGCACAAACCTTTTATCTTTAAAAAGTGTAAGATTTATCGAGTGTTCCGCATGATCCTGCCTCTTCAAATAACCCTGCAGGACCGATGTTTGTTTGCTCAATCCTTCATTGGACCACAGTGAACTCTTGAAGTATGCAGTACACAGACTGCAGTGTTTTCAAATGCTTCCTCAAGACCAAGTAGCTGTGTAAATAAACTAAAGGCCTTTTATTGTTGGAAGTCATCTCTGGTTTCATCTAAAAGCATCACTTCTCATCTCTTTAAATACACAACTCAGTTCAATTGAATTAGGGATGAAAATGGTGCACATTAAAGCTACAACTAATATAAGAACCTTTGCTTCTATAAGAGGTTGGTGTTAAACCAATGTTCTTAGCGAGACTGATGAAAGGACTCTCAGCCTGCAGCCAGTGGACTCTGAGAAGGCTGATCATGCCTTTGGACGACGTAGGCCTCTGTTTTCAACCCTGTCACCTTATTTCTTGTGTCTGCTGTTTAACACTCGACTCAGTGATGAGGATTTTTCCGTCTCTCTCTGTGGCTTAGCGCACTCTGTTTAGATGCTCCGCCTCAGCTGTGCCTGTGTGTATCGTAAAAAGTAGTGACACTGGTTTATTTAACAGACGCTGGTCTAATAGTGTTTGCGTACAGTTCCTTGAGCAGCAGGTGAGTGTGTCGAAGAGAAATGAGAAATGTGTTTGATCAATCAGAACTTTGCCCATGTGCTACTCCAAACAGGCTCAAACAAACAGCAGGTATTATTTGCAGTTCTGCTGTGTGCAGGTCTTTGTGTTTGGTAATGATTTTAGACGATTCTATCATTTCTTGAGGTTGGGCAAAACTGAAGTTGAGGTAAAGAAAACTTGGGGTAATACATAAAAGGACGGATCAAGCTTCTTAACAGTATTTCAAGTGTCTTTGCAGATGAATTGAAAGCACCTTGAGTGATGTCTGGATGTATTTTTTTGCCTGAATAGTCTTTGTTAATCTCTCCTCTTTGTGTCTTCTCTCTCTCTCTCTCTCTCTCTCTCTCTCTCTCTCTCTCTCTCTCTGGGGTCTGTGTCTGTATTCGTACCAGCTCAGCCAGCCTTCAAACTGCCTCACACTGTAGTCAAAGAGAAACAAATACTCACATAGCAACATTGAAATATGTCTTTGTATGATATACTAAAACTATGTTGGTGGGTTTGTTTTTATTTTTTCAGTTTTTGAAATAAATATTTCAACTTGTTAAAACAGACTCAGACTTGGCGGTGTTTTTCTGTTCTACGACGCCGAACAAAGCAGATCAATCATGAAACGTAATTAGAGAGAGGGGAAAAAGGTTATTTATAGATCCTCAATCTCGTAGGGAACACAGTCATGTATTGTTAATTTCCCTCCACATAGTATAATCTTTGAAAAGGTGAATTTACATAACAGTCATCGATTGATAAATTGCTTTAGCCTCTGTTCTATTAAGCCTCTTAACGTGCTGATGAAATGCTCACAGGAAAAAAAAAACGCTTAAAAGGAGTTCCCAGAAAATGAGCGCACGTTGCATTTAAACTTTTTAAAAGGAGAAGAATACTAGGTGCTTGTTTGTGCTCAGTCAAAAACTTTTACAGAGGCTATAATCGACATCCACATTAGAGCAGAACTCTTAATGCACATAATTGATTTCTTTTCTCTCTGTAGATTTCCAGTAAAACTTCCAATGAGTCATGCAATTTTGAGTGTTTTGTTGGCATTCAATTTAGCACAAAAAAAATCTCAACTAAAAGACTGAGTAAATTACAACACAAAGTAGGCTGTGCACATATATGATCGAATAATAAATGGACTTCAGACACCTACCCATGCACACACTGACAGCAGATGTGGCTATGTGACGTGACCCTCATAAGTAACTCAACCCATTCATACACTGCAGATGAAGCATTTCCGCGTTAAGTGTCTCGCCCAGCGATACTTCGGACATGTCGCTGCAGGAGCTGGGGATCAAACCCCTGACCTTCCAATTGAGGGACGACCGACTCTACAAACTGGGCCACAGCTGCCCACCTGAATCACTGCAGGACTTGAATGAACTGGTTTAATCTGAAACAACTGAACTGAGATTAAAGAAATCACTCATCTTCTGATGATGTAGTAACAATAAATAAAAGCGACACCTGAAGGCAGCACATTTTATCAGCCTCTGTTGATATTGGTTGATAAACTACGGCTGTTTTACTATAAACAGTTTGAAGGCTGGACAGGTGTTCAGCAGGAATGTATCCCTCCATGACAGTTAACGAGGCACACCTGCTGCCAGGTACACAGAGACCAGGTGTGCCTCGTTAACCACCAGACAGAACCACAAACATGCAGGACCTGGTCCAAAGCTGCAAAAATCCATCTGTGGTTTATAAATCCAATCAGATAACAGCGTTTAGAAACATTGACAGGCTGAGGAACTTTTGCTTTGGAGAGCTCAGCATGTGATTGTTGCGACTGTAGTGACATTTGAGCTTACATTTAATGTAACTTTCCTAATCCAGAGGCTTTTCCCGAGTCAATTCAGTTACTGCTTATGAACGTCCGCAGACCACGGTCAGCTTTGAGGAAAATACTTCAAGACAAATTATCTGGCATCAAATGGAAGTCTTGTTTTATTACGTGGAAATAAAACTAGTTCTTCTGTTACTTGAAGGCCCAGCACTACAGAGGCCTTGAATGGCCATACATGCATTTATTTAGTTTAAGGCCGTTATCTTGAGAACATGACTTTCTTATAACGCTATCTCCAGAATATAAGGCTCCTTTTTATACATTAAAATGGTGTTTGACGAAGGGGTTTACAACATGCAGTCAATTTCCACGTGAAAGAATTCCAGTGAGTGAGACACAGTTAAGAGAAAGCAGGACGAGTTATTTAAAAAGCTTCGTATGCATACACAGGATAAGATCAGCAGAGAGATACGAGGTACAGCTTTGTCCACAGGGATTGACAAAATCAACACAGACGGAAAGATGCTCCCAGCTTCCCTTCTAGAAACTCTCACCGCTGTTTTAATTCATGTTGGAACAAGGGCCGTGCAAAACTACCCAAGAGGAAACTCAAAATGAAAGTACATTGAATACGCTGAAACTCAATAACTGACAACTAAACAACACTGATGGCCGACTTTGAAGTGACATGAAGTCATGTCCCAGGGCGGGGAGAGATGAGGGGATACTTGTGGACTTTTTGTTGTTACTTTCTTTTTTTAATTTTATTGACAGAAATCTGTTTACTTGTTATTTTGTTAATCTTAAACTGAGTACAAATCTGTAGCATTGAATCTTTTATTTCATGTTCCTCAACAGCAACATATTCAAACTAGGAATAGAGAGTTGGGAATGAGCATCACTTGTCCTATATGTAGGCTATTCTAACTTCAGAATTTAATTAAAACTCACTCTTTTATATTTATATATCATATTTTTCCAATACCTTATTTCTAGCCTACTTGCCTCAATATGATTTTATTAGCTGCTTAAGGAAAGTTGATTACTGCTGCAGTTTGACAAAAAGCATGTGGACCATTAATGAAACACACACACACACACACACACACACACACACACACACAAAGAAAAACCACTGGCGCAACTTCCTAGTATTGCTGTTGGAAAATAAACACAAAACAAATGGCAGCCAAATGCCATGTAATGATGCTGCTGTTTCTGATTAATTACTTTAATTTACTGTTCCAGCTGCATCACAGACACAACACAAACACTTCATCTCTCTCTCTCTAATGTCTGTTGACTTGTGAAGCAAAAAAACAACAACCCTCTGATTCACAAAATGCTGAATATAGTGTTTTGTGTGCTTTCAGTAAACACCATTGTCCCACCTCTAAAAGCTTCTACTGTAAACCTAAGTGGCACCAGATATTGATGATCGATTGGCAGTCACGGAGCGTCCCTGGTTGGTTGTCTGCCTCAGGATCTGAAAGCTGTCTTTGTGGCTCCTTCTTGTATTTGAGGCAAATCATTGGTCTGGGAGGGGGAGCAAAGTGCTTGTTTGTTTACTTGGGTAGGTGTGCCCATGGTCCTAAGCAAAGAGGGCAAGGCCTTTTTCCTCATCCTGTGACCTCGTATCTGCATCAGGCACTCAAAAGCAGGCTGGGGCTGAGGCCGGCCTCGCTGGACAACAATGTGCAAGGCAAGCACAAAAAAATAAATCAAAGGGCTTTAGTGAGGGCGGCCCGAGTGATGATACTTTGAACTAATTAAAGTTACAGAAAACTGAATGTTTACGTTTTATATATCTTTGATATGTTTGGACTTAAGAAGGGAAGTTTGGTATTTTTGTCCTTTGTTTAATTATGCTGCTTGAGTCTCATTCACTCCAGGGGAGGTGAGATTGATTACACCTGGAGTCAATCTGGCTCCGATTAGAGCTCCTCTCTGATTGGCCTAAGAGGAGAGGTAACATAGTATTTCATGTCTGTGAGATCAGCAGACTGGTTGGCGTGTCCTTTTGAGAAGTCTGTGAGGAGAGCCAGTTCATCTGTTTAAATAAATGTTTGTTTCGAAAGACAAATCTGTAATCTAGTTGTCAAGTTAGTTTCACTGCCAGCCATCCAGAAGTATAACATGTTTGATGGCATTGCTTTTTTATATTCCTAGTTTTGTTTTTGTTTTATAAATAGCAACATTTTTACATCATTGTTATCAGTATTTTTTATCATGTCTGATAAACAGAAGTTGAATTTTGTGTGTTTTGGTTTGTTAGGATTGGTTTTGGTGCAACGTACTTTGCACTCCAGCACAACATTTAAAAATTGCTTTGGCATATAGGATGACATTTACCCATGAAAACTGAGCAATTATCATAATCAATACAAATGAGTTAAGCCGAATTGACAAATAACAGAATATTCATTGTTATGTCCAAAAAATGTTTTACAGGAAACACATCTATTAATGTGCTTCCCATATGACAGCTTAAAGAGTTTTACACTTCAGATTAATGATCATTGTTGGACAGCTTTTAACTCAAATGGGATGAAACTAAGAGAATACATATTGCTGTAACTCTCCAGAGCAGAAGATGTCTTTGAAAACAAGCTCCTGGTCTTCACAGCTCTCCCTTAAAAACAGTGTTTCTCTTCTTCTGTCAGCGTCTCCGTATCACTTCATGTCTTCGTTCAGCAGTGAGCACGATGTCTATGAGCTAATCTAAATGTTGCACAGATTGCAGTGCTGCTGTGTTGTTTTGCTCTGTGCTGCTGTGCTGCCACATGGGTAATGTGGTGGGTGGTGCCTATGAGAAACACTGAGCGGAGCTATTTATAGTCTCTGCAGTCCTGAGCTAGGCGCCTTACAGCAGGTCTCCTGGCAGCAGCAGAGTGTCTGTGTTTGTCTCCCCTCTGCTCTCAAATACACACAGGATCCAGCAGGGACCAGCCAGCCTTATATATATGATACTATAAATCAGCAGGTTCAGGTACAGCCTGACTCCAAGTGTGGAAAGAAATGTATCTACAATACGCTGAGCAGGGAGTGAATTATGATCCTTTTCTTACACAGAAATCCAACATTATCCAGATGTCTCTTTCAGTTTTACAATTCAAGTTTATTAATACATTTGTTTATTCTTAATTTATCTCTTAATCCATCAAAGACAGGTTCCCACGTGTCGGGCACAATGTGTGTTTCCTGCATTAAAAATGTAACTTCAGAGCAATCTTCAACTTTAAAGTCCTCTCTGCTCATTGAACGTGTCAACATCGAACATGCTGAAACAAACAGTAACTGACAAAGATCAGTATTTATTTACTGTATGTCCGTAGATTGAAACAAAAGAACATGTCGCTGTACTGTTATCAGATAAACTATTACTTTGATGCTGATGTGATTCAAAATTGATTTAAAACTTCTGAATTAGATTAAACAGAGACTGGTGTAGTTCTGAGGTTAACCGGTGACATTTTTAAATGTATTAGTTTAATGATACATAGTTTGTCAGCAGACCCCTCAGTCATGACAAAAAATATACAACACCATAACCACAAAACTACAACAACATAAAATGTACTGAATAAAAACTAAAAGAAAATTAATCATTCCCATTTAAGCTCTTTTAGGAGATTTTTGGTCGTATTTAGAGACGTTTCTCCAGATTGCACAGAGCGTGCTCATATTGTGCGTTTCCCATTCTCAAGATCTTAATCTTAAGATTTGTATTACCATAGTATTTTTGATATCAAGATTAAGAATTTAAAA